GTGAACTTTAACAAACCTTACCTGTTAGTACTTCAGTTTTGCAATGTGGAAGGCAAAGCATACACTCTTCACAGGACGTTACATAGCCGTACCTTGGTTTTAAAAAATCAAGAGTGGTTTGATGTCATTTTGCAACTTCTAGAAGCACTCAAAGTGTTGCACAACTCTGGACTGATTCATCAGGATATAAAAGGTGATAACATCTTGCTTACATACAAAAATACACTGTTTGTGCCAGTAATCATTGATTTTGGAAAGTGCATTAGAAAACAGGAAGCCAGTAGAAAAGTTTTGTCCAAACAAGAACAAGAGACATACAAACAGAAGTACACACATGTTGCCCCTGAAGTTGTTGCAGGAACCCACCCTCCATCTCATGCAAGTGATGTATATGCCCTTGGCCAACTGTTAAGGCAGATTGCAACCAAGATTGGTTGCAAGCCACTTCTCTCCCTTAGTGAATGCAGCTTAAAGAATGACCCAAATGCTAGGGCTTCTTTGGATCACCTCTTGGTCAGTGTCAAGTCTCTGTCATCATGATTAGGTTCTTGATATTAAATGGAGAGGAGAAGTCGTTATGTCAGATTTGTTGATGACAACAAAGTGAAAAGGTCACTTAAAAAGTGAATTCACACTGTTTCAAACTTATCGATCTTATTCAGTTTCTTTTAATTTGTAAAATCGTGGCGAAATTATTTTCTGGGGTTGAATCCAAAAGGACCATATCTGACTTTAGAAAAAGAAAAAGAAAATTTTTGTGCTGTGTTCACCAACTCCATAAACCAGTTACGTGAAATTAGGAAGTTTCAAGCTGCAGACTTGCAACGATGGATAAGAAATGTACAGAAAAATGTGATGCACTTGCAAAGTTGTTGTTTTGCTAGAGGATATTACATGGCCGCACGGAGATAAGAAATTTCTCTTCAAGTGTTGAACGAGAAGAGAAATTCCGTATGTCCAAGCAGCCATGTAATGTTCTATTTATTATGTAAACACCAATGAAATACCAAACCATTTCACTTTAACAGTTTTTTGGTGTGAAAGGCACGATTTATTATCTAGCCATAGCAAAGGTGATATTTTCACATGTGAGGATAACATGTTATTTCCACCTGTGAAGATAACAAGTTTTTGCAAGAAAGCTCACCTAGTATTTCATTGGTGTTTATATAATAAACTGATTTCTTTTTTGCCATTCGTTGCCGTCGCTGTGGTTGTTGCTTAAGCTCCCCACTGTTGTGATCCAGAAATGTTGCTACCATGGTAAAGTGACATCATACTCCTTCTCTCTATTGGTTGTCATATCTCCCCTAACTAAAAAACTCTGACACTGTGGCAGGGCTACAAACCCTTTAAGTCCCAAGAGTCACCCAAAACAGTTTTCCCCTCACAACATCATTACTTCATTAAAGGAAAAGATTATGACAACCAAATAAACACCACAAGGAGAAGGGTTTCATCTTTCAACAAATTAATTCTCTCGACTAATGCGTGGAGATTATTTGGCAAATTGTGTATTCAGGTATTGGGGCTTAAAGGGTAAAAGTGTTTTAATGATGTTAATATTGTGACCTTTATTTTAAAAAAATAGCTTTCTAATAAAATTACTGATAAGTTACTGAAGTTTTGCTCTAGGTGGACTGAAAGCCAAGTCCACTCCGTCCGATCTTAGGTTATTTTTCTTCTGTTTTTAAAATGACCTGGCTATAAATTTAAATTTATAATGTGGATTTGACTATTGTATGACATATTTTACTGCACAAGTAAGGATTTCACATTCTGTGGGAGAATTGTTATTTACTTCAGGCTCAATTGAAAGCCAAAACCACTGTTTCTGGTCATACTACCCGGGTTTCTTTTTTCAAATGACCTCCTTTGCAAGCTTGGAACTACAGAAAAGTGATGGTGAAATATTTACCTTTAATTCGGCTTTCCTTACAGAGTAGGTGGAAGCTTGTAGTTGCCCAGATGTTTTCATCTTTAGGCAGCGCACCGGAAACGGGACAGGACAGATGTTTCATCTGTTAAGTTAGTGGAAGCTTCCCTTGTAAGGTAAATTCAATGATTGGCGGAGGTATTAATTTTTCCAGACTAACTGTATGAAATCATCATGATTAGAAAGGTAAATACCAAAGGCTAAACTCAACATTGTTCAATCACTTAAATTTCACATGTGTGAATTCACTGCAGAGTAGGTGGAAGCTTGTAGTTGCCCAGATGTTTTCATCTTTAGGCAGCACACCGGAAACGGGACAGGACAGATGTTTCATCTGTTAAGTTAGCCAAAGCAAACTTTGTAGTGAATACAAATAATGGGCAACAAGTTTTGGTTATGGACCGTGTTATTTCTGCAGTAAATATCATTCCCCTGTGGGTCATTTGAAAGAGAAGCTCTGGATCCCAAAATACATGATGGAGAGTGGATCTGTTTCTATTGCTTTTAATCACTGCTGAACATCACTTTACTTATTTAAAATGGCAGTGAAATGAGGTGTCAAGACCTGATGGTGAATCCCTAGTGTATAAGCACTCACAAAGTAGATAACTTTCTTGTATTGGGATCAGTTTTGGTTTAGATTGGGAGACTTTTGACAAAGGATTCAGCATGTTGTGCTCTTATGATTTTCTTTCTTCTTTTAAGATTTAGGCCATGGCAACAGTAGCACTACATGAACACTGTAGTTATTATTTTTTAATAAGTGAGTTAATAATCTCTCTTCCAATTGGCAGTGTTTTTGCATAAAGGCTCTATGCCAGGTACCACACAGAAAACACACAATAGGTAATGGGAAAAATTCTGGTGGCAGGGAAGTGCTTAAATCTAGGGGTAAGGGGACCAGGAAAGAAGCCCTCCTGGGGGGAGATAAGATCGAGTGGTACTGGGGGTAGCCACCCTGGACAGGAGTCCTGGTAGTCTCTGGGGGTGAGGCCCATATCCCCCAGTCACTAGGAACTAAGGGGAACCGGGAGGGGTGGCCATCCTGGGTGGAGTACAGATCAGGTGTGAATGGTTTACCCAGTGTCACTCTTTTTCATTGTAATGCAGCGTTTTTTAAAGAAAATACAAGACAAGACTAAGAAACGTCAGTGGAAAAAATTTGGCGGTGATATTGCTCAAACCGATTCTTTAAAAAACCGTCAACTAGTCGATCTGTACTCAGATTGACTGTATTTTCTACGATATGGTATAATTGAACTGATGTAAATTAGTGTTAATTCCAAATTCTTTTGGAAATAAAGTTTATGCTTTCAGGGGGGATCTTTATCCACCCCATGACTTGTGTTCATTATACACACTTTAGATGACCCTTTTTTCCTTTTTTATTGCCTTCGAAATGCCTCAGTTCATGGTCAAAATTTGTTAAGGGGTTAGTTTTCCTTTAAAGTGGACTGATGCTGTGTCGGTTGCGGAGTGGAAGTTGGAAAATTGTTTAGTCAACTAGGTTGACATTGTCACCTCAAAAAGATGGCGTTTCGAACGTTCATCCCTCATCAGAACGAATACTATCAGAAAACCGAAAGCAAATGTGAGAAAACACTCGCAAATCTGGTCATTTGGAAGAAATGCAAATTTTGTCCAAAAGTAAATATTTGCACATGTTACATGAGTAAAACGCACGCGAAAGTTTTTGGATGTAGTTTGGGTAAACGTTGGAAAACAGTGATGCATACATATAGATTTGCAACATGTTTGCTTAGATTTTTGCAGAAAGCAAACATTATTTTTCCACAGAGAGCAAATCTGGAGTAAATGTACACCGGATTTGTTGATTTGCGGAGGTATCAAATACGAAGCAAATGTAAAGTAGATTTCAGGTTTACGTCGTATTTGCACGCAATTTCAACGGAATAAACATCTGTGTTTGCATCATAATTACTTCTGGTGATAATTTTGGTCAAATTTAGAAGGCTAAATTTGCATCATATTTACTTCTGTCGCAAACCTGTTTAAATCCGTTTTTTCGTGCAGTGTTAGTACCTCTCCATCTCTTCTTATCTCGCAGCTGTAATTCACGTGGTTTTTCGAAGTTATTTTATGCTGAAATGTTATGCTGGTACTATTTTGAACAGCGTCACCATCTTTTCTCCATAGGATATATGGAGCCGGCGCACCTTTTACTGGGCACCACAGGTTAGAGGTTCTGTTCAAAAATACATAGTGCAGGTTTGGAACTTGGTCCATCGTAGGATTGACTATATTAGATTTAAAAGAAAAAAAGAAAGCAATTGTTGAAATGACTAATGTGCAGGTATTCAGAACAACTAATTCCTAGACACAGCATGAGAGGATAACCCATTTTACATGCACATAAAAAAGTATCATTCTAATCCTGACACATTTCAATGTTCAGGCCAAAGCAACACGTGAATTTCGTTCGTATCCTTCTCCGCCTTTCTCTATCTCTGACTATCTGTCTGCGTCATTTAAGGATACGGTAGACCCGCGAGTGCCAATATTTTTTAATGTTGGTTTTCAAGTTAAACTTAGCATTATTGTTTAAATTATACTTTCCAATTAACATTTTGGTGAATTATTGAAATACGCGCGATTTATTTACAGAAACGTATTTTCGAACTGAATTATTTAACGACCAAAGAGTAAATAGCCAATTATGTGACGCTACTCACGCTCGAACATTTTTTTTGTTGATGTTTAATAATCGTAGTTCGTATAACTAATTTTGGAATGTAATTCGCACACTTAAGAAGAACACGCGGAGGTTTCAAATGGCAGTAATAATATTAAGTAGAAGGAAATACCTGGTATTTTTCTCTTAGGAGTTGGACAATGTAAGTGATCGCTTCTTTCGAATTTATTTCCGTTTTTTCACGTCTTAGGTTAGAATATTTTTGTTTATTTGGTCCTCGATCTTTCATTTCAGTTTGTCCACCAAGTACCATGTGACTTAAAGCAATGTTCAATAAACCAGATTGAGAGTAAATATAATATCGTGGTACACGGTTTCAACGGCGTCATCTCGATTGACGCGCAACTGCAATCGAAAACGTGACAGTGGAAAAAATTGCCGAAACGCACAATCACCGGAGAACATTGAGGTAAGCCGTTATTTAAATATCTTCAAACAGAGAACGTGAAAAGAAAACCAAAGCATGTCGAAGTGATAAGAAGATCCAGCAGGAGATATCACCGCGAATGGAGACCGATTAATAACCCAAGGAGAGGGTCTGGATGGGAAGGTACAAATGTCAGTTTTCTGTTAAAATTTCGGCCATTTATCAGTTCTCAGTTAAATTTTAGGCCATTTGTCAGTTGTCAATGAAATGACTGTTGATAATTAACTTGGCGAGTTAATTATTACTTCAGGATCCTATTTTGGGCTAAAAAGGCATATATGGCGTAAACTCGAGAATTAAGTCGAAAAGTGACACAATAAGCACTCCTTTTTCTCAATTCTGGAATGAATGAAATAATTCCAAGATCTTTCAAGTGACTTTCAGCCTTTGTTTTAAGGGTGTTTAAATAATTTCCAGCTCTTCCTCAGACAAACTTCTGTTTGCCCGTGCTCAACATTGAAACA